GGGGGGGCAGATGGGATGATGGGGGGGCCATGCTGCACCAGGACAGTGGGGAAGGAGGAATGCAGGGGGCTGGGGGTTGCTGACTCCAGGGAGGGGTTGGGGGCGGAATGGGGGGGTACAGTCGGGGGGTGGGGCTGGGGGCTGGCCTTGGCTCTAATGGGCCCCTCCCCTGGCAGATGAAGTACCGGGACCGCGCGGCGGAGCGCAGGGAGAAGTACGGCGTCCCCGAGCCCCCGGAGCCCAAGAAGAGGAAGTACTCAGCTGTGATGCCCGCCACTGTGTAAGCCCCGCCCCTGCCATGCTGCCCCCCCCACTCAGGGCAGAGCTTTGCCCTCCAGGAGCGCCCCTCCCCAGAGGTGGCAGCATCTCAGCGCTGGCTGAACTGTCCCTGTGCAGCGTTATGTGCAGTTGTTCCCCAGCTGCCCTTCCCCAGAGGTGGCTGCATCGCTGCAGTGGGCGAGTGGCGTTGTGTGTGGCTGTTCCCAGCTGCCCTGCCCCAGAGGGGGCTGCATCGCTGCAGTGGGCGAGTGGCGGTATGTGTGGCTGTTCCCAGCTGCCCTTCCCCAGAGGGGGCTGCATCGCTGCAGTGGGCGAGTGGCGGTATGTGTGGCTGTTCCCAGCTGCCCTGCCCCAGAGGGGGCTGTATCGCTGCAGTGGGCGAGTGGCGGTATGTGTGGCTGTTCCCAGCTGCCCTGCCCCAGAGGGGGCTGCATCACAGCAGTGGGCGAGTGGCGTTGTGTGTGGCTGTTCCCAGCTGCCCCGCCCCAGAGGTGGCCACATCCCCATCTTGGCCATTGACCCTTTGCTCTCCCCGCAGAGACTTTGAGCAGCCGACGCGGGACGGGCTGGGCAGCGATAACATTGGGAGCCGCATGCTGCAGGCCATGGGCTGGAAGGAGGGCAGCGGCCTGGGCCGCAAGAAGCAAGGCATCGTCACCCCCATTGAGGTACCGGGGGCAGGGCGAGTGGGGAGCCCCGTGGGGGTGGTTCCGAGGGGCAGGTCCCTGATCTCACCAGGTCTTCCCCCTCCCCAGGCGCAGACCCGAGTGCGCGGCTCCGGCCTGGGTGCCCGCGGCAGCTCCTACGGGGTCTCGGCCGCCGAGTCGTACCGCGAGACGCTGCACAAGACCATGCTGACCCGCTTCAACGAGGCTGAGTGAGGCCACACCCCTGGAGACTCCCCCTGCAGGGGGGACCATGAACTTTTTTTTAATTAAAGGAGAAAAATGACTGTGTGTGTCCCTGCGCCCCCCGCTGGAGGGGACGGGCCCTGCGCTGTGTGTGTCCCTGCGCCCCCCGCTGGAGGGGACGGGCCCTGCGCTGTGTGTGTCCCTGCGCTCCCCGCTGGAGGGGACGGGCCCTGCGCTGTGTGTGTCCCTGCGCTCCCCGCTGGAGGGGACGGGCCCTGCGCTGTGTGTGTCCCTGCGCTCCCCGCTGGAGGGGACGGGCCCTGCGCTGTGTGTGTCCCTGCGC